TCTGTCTCAAAAAAAAAAAAAAAAAATCAGGAAAAGGTAGGTTGCTACGTTAAATACAGGATGCCCGGTTACATTTAATCTCAGATAAACAAAAAAATACATTTTAAATATAAGTATATCCCAAATATTACATGGCTTCTCACCAAATATTGCAGGGACATATGTGTATTAACCAAGTCATCATTGTTTATGTGAAATTTTAATTTAAGTGGGTCTCTTCTATTTTTATTTACTAAATCTACAATGTTAGTAAAGGGGGACCACCCTTGGAAAAAACATAGAGAGGGATTCTAGAAATGTTAGATGGTAGGAGGTGAAAAATGTTGTGCTCTTGACAAAGGCCACCGCATGATTTCTAGACAGTGACCAGTGACATAAACTGACTAAGTTATAGAGGTCAGAGAAAACCTGAGTTTAACCGAGCTTCTTTTTTTCCTTTGAGATGTGATCTTCCTTTGTCACCCAGGCTGGAGTGCAGTGATGCGATCACGGCTCACTGCAGCCTCGAACTCCCAGGCTCAAGCAGTCCTCCCACCTCAGTCTCCCAAGTAGCTAGGGCTACAGGTGTGCACCACCATACCTGGCTAATTTTTAAATTTTTTTTGTAGCGAGTGGGTCTCACTATGTTACCCAGCCTAGTCTAGAACTCCTAGACTCAAGCCGTCCTCCCACCTCAGCCTCCCAACGTGCTGGGATTACAGGCATGTGCCCACCACACCCAGCCGAGCTTATTTTTTATTTCTTTTTATTTTGGTATCATGAACTCCCATATCCTCATCACTCATCTTCATCAATTCACAGTCAATTGTGTTTTACCTACACCTAGCCCCCTTCCCCTTCACCGCTGAATTATTTTGAATCAAATCTCAAGCATCATATCATTTTATCTTTCTACATTTCAGTATGTATTGCGAAAACATAAGGATTTTATTAAGCATAACCACATACAATTATCACATCTAAAAACCTTCATAATTCCTAGGTAGCATTAAATACCTAGTCAGTGTTCAAATTCCCCTAATTGTTTTACATATTCCTTTTACACTTTGTTCAAATCAAGATTCCAGGCTGGGCACAGTGGCTTACACCTGTAATCCCAGAACTTTGGGAGGCCAATGCAGGCGGATCACCTGAGGTCAGGAGTTCAAGACCAGCCTGGCCAACATGGCCATCTCTACTAAAAATACAGAAATTAGCTGGGCATGGTGGCACATGCTTGTAATCCCAGCTACTCATGAGGCCGAAGCAGGTGAATCATTTGAAACCAGGAGGTACAGGTTGCAGTGAGCCAAGATTTTGCCACTGCACTCCACTCTGAGCGACAGAGACTCCGTCTCATAAAAACAAAAACAAAAAACAAATCAGGATTCCAAACCAGATCCATTCATTGCAAGTGGTTAATATGCATTTTAGTTTCCTTTTACTCTGTTGGTCCTCTCTGTTCCCCCCACTTCCTCTTCTTTTTTTTAATTTGCAACTTATTTGTTAAAGAAACTGGGTAGTTGGACCTGTAGCATTTTCTCTGGTCTGGGTTTTGCTGATTTCATCTTCAGGGGATCATTTTGCATTCCCCCCACCCCGCTTCCCTATCTAGAGTTTAGATCAGTCTCAACCAATTAGTTGGCAAAGGGACTTTAACAGAAGGCACAGAATGTCTGCTGGTCTCTCATTTTATGTTGTTAACGACTAATGATGATCACCGCCTGGATCTGTTGCTTCACTAGAAGTGACTGAGTTTTTATTCTGTTTTTTTATTTTTTAATTTATATATATATATATATATATA